TTCTCCTCATAGAGACCAGCCTCCCGGATAATCTGTTCTGCATACAGGTTGAAAAGGTATACACATAAACACCCCCCCATACGTACGTCCATAAACATACACATAATCCTACATATATACACCCCTACATACACATACTCCTACACTCCATCCACAAACATACATACAGCCCTGCATACATACACCTCCCTACACATACACATCCATAGCCCTACATACACACACCCCCATACATACATCCATAAACACACACAGCCCTACATACATACAGCCTCCTATACACACACATACATAAACACACATATAGCCTTACATACATACAACCCCTACACACATCCATAAATACACACATAACTCTACATACATACACCCCTCCTACACACACACGCACACACCATAAACACACACATAGCCCTTTATACATATAAGAATGGGAGCACCTGTCCTGCCCACCACGTAGCTGCAATGAATACTGAGGATGAATATGCTATGATAAAACACAAGACCACTAAAAAATGGGAATTTCTGAATCTTGCCGTCTCTAGTTTCCTTTTTTGAAGGTTAAATACTTACTATGCTGAAAATAACTGAAGAAAATGAAATACATCTTTATATGCTGTTAGGTTTTTAGAGGGTTTCCCTCCAGTGGGTTGTCAGAGGTAGTTAATTGCAAAGGAGGAGATTGCCCATCCTTCTCCTGTGGAGCAACTGGTGGCCTCAAATTGTGTGTTTTCAGGATTGCAGTGCAGCTTCTTACCACTAGGCCAACAGAGCTCCCACATCTTTATATGGATAGCTAAAATAAATCTCAAGTGAAAAAGCAAGATGCAGAAGAATGTGGTATCAGGATTAGAGGAAGAATCATCAACAAGCTGTATTATGCAGATGATACAATGTTTCTTCTTATTGTTGTTGGTTGTTATGTGCCCCTATGTACAAGAGCCCTAAACCCTGCTCTATCCTGTGCCAACTACACTGTGTCTGACACACTCATTCCCACCATCCCATCACAGAATCCATCCATCTCATCAAATGTCTTCCCCTCCTGAGCAGACTCCACTCTCCCAAACATGATGTCCCTCTCCAAGGACCAGTCCCTCCTTGCAACATGCCCGAAGTATGTCAGACAAAGCTTCAGAGTCCTTGCCTCCAAGAAAAACTAAAGATTATTTGAATAATTTGCCCCAGAAGATCAAAGAGTAACAACCTTTAGTATGGATTACATCAGGACAAATAGGGGCAATTTCTTTCCATGTGATTGACTGACTCTGCACACTGGAGAGTTGATTCTGACTCAACAATACACAACAGCAACAGTACATCTCAACATCAGAAAATCATAAATTCTCAATATTGGAACAATAGGCAACGTTATGATAGATGGAGAAAAGGTTAAAATTGTCAATGACTTCATTTTACTTGGATCCACAATCAATACCTACGGTAGCAGCAGTCAAGAAATCAAAAGATGTGATGCACAGGGGAAATCTGCAGTCAAGGACCTCTTTAAAATGTCAAAAAGTAAGGATGTCTGTTTTAAGACAAACTACACCTGATCCAAGCACTCACTGTATTTTCAGTTGTTTCTCATGGACCTGAAATACAATGAATAAGGAAGACCAAAGAAGAATCAAGCCTTTGAACTGTGGTGTTGGTGGAGAATACTAAAGATCCCACAGGCTGCCAAAAGAACAAGTATATTAGTTTTAAAAGTAGTGCAACTATAGTGATCCTTTGAAGTAAGGATGGGGACACTTCATCTCTCATACTTCGGTAATATGAGGGGGACAGTCTTTGGGAAAAGAAATCATGCTGGGAAAGGTGGAAAATTAGTGAAAAGACAACCCTGAACAAGATGGACTGGCACAGTGATTGTAACAATGGCTTTGAGCATTAAAGAAATTCTGAGGATGGTACAGGTTAGAACAAAGTTACTACCAGAGAGTTAACATACCAAACAGCAACATGGACTGTGCCAAACAGTAATATACTCAAGTTTGGTATCATCACCAAGGTTAAAAATGAGCACTTGTTTTGTGGATGGATGTACAGACACATGACAAAATAAAAGTGAACTAAAGAAAGATACAAGTTCCTAACAGTGATTATTTGAGGAAGGAGGTGAGGACTATACATCACCTGACCGAGTTGTTATTCTAAGTGATGAAAGGATAAAATCCTTAACTTTTTTAAAGAAGGGAGAAAAGGGGGAAAGAAGACAGAAAATGGAGATTCAGAAACAAAGTTCTAATATTTACTGTCTAACGTCATCTCTGAGAACACATGTCCTCAGGGGGCCAGGCGTGCATTCGAACCCACGAGCTGCCCCATGGGAGAAGAATGGGCAATCTCCTCCTGTGCAATTTACTGCCTCTGAAAACCCACTGGGGGTCAGCTATGGGTCAGTTCTGCTGCAACAGCACACGACAACAATGGGGCCAGGAGGAGGCTGTCCTTAAGACAGTCACAAAATGACAGCTGTGGTCTAACACCACTACTATAAAAAGTTAAGGAAATGTTTATTCACAGACTGAAGAAGTCTTAGAGGGATAACAGGTATAAGAATTGAGGAAGAAGGGAGAAAAAACTATGAATTGGTTGCCTATTAATTAGGTATGCTGGGTGAAGAGAAAGGCAATACACAAAAGGAGTTGATCTGTTGTTGTTAGGAGCTAAGGAACTGGGCCATATTCTGTGCAACCTCACAATCTCCATCACGCTCCAGCCCACTCTTACAGTCACTGTGTTAATCCACGTCAATGGTAAACTTTTATCTCAGATACCCTGGGCACACTGTTGTTATGTGCCAATGAGTTCATAGCGATCCTATGCACGACAGTAATGAACCCTGTCCTACCCTGAGCCAATCTGTCTCCAACACAGCTGCCCCTATTACCTCAGTGACAATGTCAATCCATTGCATCCCAGGTCCTCCTTTCCTATGCAGTCCCTCCACCCTTCCAAGCATGATGTTCCTCCCAGCAACATGCCCAAAGTATGTGAGACGAAGCTTTAAATTCCTTGCCTCCAGAGAATACACTGGTTTCACCTTTTCGAGGACAGACTTGTTTGTTCTCTTGGCTGTCCATAGTATGTTCAATATTCTTCTCCAGCACCACAACTCAAAGGCATCAATTCTTCCTCTGTCATCCTTATTCACTGTCCAGTTCTCTGATATATAGCATGTAACTGCAAAGACCATGACCTGGATCAGGAGCACCTTAGTTTCTAGACTGACATCTTTGCACTTCAGAACTCTGGAGAGGTCCCTGACAGCAGACTTTCTGAATCCAATTTGTCTTTTGATTTCTTGGCTGCTGGTTCCAAGAGTGTTGACTGAGAACCAGAGCAAGCTGAAATTGTTAACAAGCTCAATCTCTTCTCCATCTATGATGGTGTTCCCTAGTAGTAAGAATCTTCATTTTCTTGATGTTGAGCTACAATCCATATTGAAGACAGCAGTTCTCAACTTCTGTAGCAGATGCTTCACGTCCTTCTCAGTTTCAGTAACCAAGGTTGTGTCATCTGCATAATGTAAGTTGTTGATGAATATTCCTCCATTTGTGGTGCCACATTCCTCCTCATAAAGCTAAGCTTTCCTAATAGTCTGTTCCTCATACAGATTGAAAAGGAATAGAGACAGGACGCATCCCTGACACACTCCTTTCCTGATTTTGAACAATGTACTGTTTCCTTACTCTGTTCTTGAAGACTGCTTTCTGGTCCAAGTACAGGTTTCACATGAGCACAATCAAGTGTTCTGGGGTTCCCATCCTTCTCAAGGTTTGCCACAATTTGTTGTGACCCACACAGTCAAATGGCTTTGTGTTAAGTGAATGAAATGAAGACATTCCTCTGGTACTCTTTGCTTTCAGCCAAGATCCATTTGACGTTAGTGATAATGTCTCTAGTGCCACGACCTCTTCTAAATCCAACTTGTATTTCTGTTAGCTCTGTCAATGTACTGTTCCAGTCATTTTTGGATCTTCAGCAGGATTTTGCTTGTGTGCAATATCAGAGATATTTCCATACTCTTTTGGAATGGGAATAAATATGAATCTCTTCTAGTCAGCTGGCTAAGTAGCAGTACGCCAGATTTCTTGGCACAATTTGGTGAGCACGTCCAGGGCAACATCTATTTGCTGAAATATGTCAACTGGTAATCCATCAATTCCTGGGGCCTTGTTTTTTGCCAAGTCCTTCAGAACAGCTTGAACTTCCTCCTTCATACCCATGCCTCTTCACCATAATGCTGTTTCATGAAATTCTTTTGTATCAGCCAATTCTTTCTGACAGAGTGACTCTGTGTACTCCTTCCATTTTTTTGTTGTTGTTGTTGTTAAAGCCTCAAGCTGCAATACTTAAAGAGGTTACTGAGACACGTTGTAGGTAGGACCAATCCCTAGAAAAAGACACCCTGATGGAAAAAGTGGAAGATCCTCAAGGAGAGTTGAGTAAACACTATAATTAATTACATTAATAGACGGCAATTAATGTCTAAACAAAACGTCTTATGAACGACTGTATGAAAAACCAGTATGATCTGTAAACTTTTCTTCCCTCAAATAAAAGTCATTTTAAAAAAAAAAACACAACATATAACTGATAAAAGGCTGTTCTGATGGGACTGTAAAATGGTACAACCATTCTGGAAGGCAGTTTGGCACTTTCTCAAAAAGCTGAACATAGAAATTCCATAAGACCCAGCTATTTCACTACGTGCAATATACCTTGAGAAAGTGAGAACTGAGGCACAAACAGAGATTTGTACACCAATGTTCACAGTAGCATTATGCACCATCACAAGAACATGGAAACAGCCCAAATGACCAACCACAAGTGAATGGATTGAGAATGGATTATGGTACATTCACACAATGGAATGTTATGCAGCACACAGGAGCAATGACTTTATAAATTACTACCTATCTTGGGAGGGACTGGAGAGCATTATACTGAGTGAACTAACTCAGTCCCACAAGGATAAATATCGTATAAAATCATTGTTGTAGAATGAGTATGAGGATCCAAGAGGGGTGGGAGAGGCTGGAAGCAGAAGGACATGGATGTGCAGGGGGAGAGGAGGATTAATCATGGGGTTGTACAATTTGATGGGTGGAGGAGTGACGGAAATGCAAAGAATTTGTTATAATTTGTATTTGAATTTTGTAAATAGTAGAAAACTGTAAAAAAGGCTGTGGTGAGGGGCTGCAAGGAGGAGATGGGTGCTCACCGGAGGGAAGGCAGTGCTGCGGGCCCACCAGCGGCTTCTTGTCCCCGTCATTGCTGCTGGCACTGCTCCAGCTCCCCCAGCTGCCCCGGCTGGCGCGCACGCTCCCCGACGAGCTGCCACAGTCGGAGCTGGAGTCTGAGCAGAACTTCTCCGCACATTTCTTCTCCGGCTTCCGGTAGTAGCTCTCTAGAGAAGGAATGAACAAAGAGCTGACTGCAAAGCAGACAAGGCCTGGGTCACTTATAATATCTTCAGCGCTGCATTTCTAATAAAAGAAGAAAGGTGGGGGTGAGGTCCATCTTCAGGGTCTCCTATTCTGCCGGTTAACAGCAGGCGCCATTATTACAGAGTAAGCATAGGCACCTACTCTTGATGGCAAGAGGTTAAGACAAAACCAAAACCCAACCATTGTGGTTGAGCCAATTCTAACTCTTAAAACTCCACAGGACAGAGTTGGAACTGCTCCCTAAGGTTTCTAAGGCTAGGGTCTTTACAGGAGTAGGCTGTCTCACCTTTCTCCCATGGAGCAGGTGTGAAATTCGAACCACTGACCTCTCCCTTAGCTTTCTCATGTATAATCCACTATATCACTAGGTCTCCTGGGGATTAAGATGGTCAATACCAACTAAAACCTGGCTCTAAAAACATTTCTGGAAATGTAAAATACTTCTTTCAAACGAAAGCTATTCTGCAGGACTGGGACTGGTTAAGGTTGATCCTCCTCTTGCTTTTACTAAGCTGTCCACTGAAAAGTTTCCAAATGTTTGTGTGGGTGGGAAGAACCACCTGTAAAACCAAAACTCAATACCTGTATAAAGAGAAGAAGAGGGGATGGAGAGAGAACCCACTTAACTTAGTACTAGGATGGGAGGTTGTTAAGCGGATCTTAGCCCTCATCCCACACATACAGCCAAGGTCCGTGGTCCAGTGCCTCCCACAATCCTCTGCACTCACCTGGAACCGACATTCTGTGCTTCCCTGCCTCCCTCTCCCAGGGACACTGCCCACCAGCCTGAGCCAGGCAGTATCCTGATCTGCAGAAACTACCAGCTGAGGCCTGGAGATGGCACTTTTCTCACTTGGCTGCTCCCTTACTTCCCTCTTTCACCAAGGTGTCCTGTCTAGAGCGAGCAGCCACTGTTCCTGACAGCCATGAACAAGAGAATTATTGGAAATGGTAGGTCTGAGGGGAGACAAGGGCTGCTACCCTGTTATTTGCACAAGTTAGACAATTTTAAAAAGGCAGAACAATTGTCTGAATTGTGATTTTGGCCACAAATATGGAATATCTTGTGGACTTCCAGGAAAACAAACAAATCAGTATCAGAAGAAATACAAACAGAATGTTTCTTAGAATCAAGGATGCAGAGACTTGTTTCATTTACTTTGGACACATTACTAGGAAAGGGCACTCACTAGAAAAGGCGAACATATTTTATCAAGTGGGGCTCACAGGGGTGAGGGAGGTCCTCAGTAAAATGGAATGAGACAGGGGCCAAAGCAGTGGGATCAAACTAACAATGAACACAAAGATGGCACAGACCAGGCAGCATTTCCTTCTGTGTACGGAAGCCAATTTAATGACAGCCAACCATAGGATGAGACACTAGAGGCCTGCCCAGACGCTATAGAATCTTAAGATTTCTGGTCTTATTCCGATGGCTTCCATTCAAGATTCTGTACACTCTGGAGGGCTGCTGAGTAAGGAGCTGCACTGCCAACCTAAAGGCAAATGGTTCAAATACACTAGCTATTCCTTGAGAGAAAAATGGGCAGTCTCCTCGCCCGTGATTTACAGTCTCTGAAAATTCACCAGAGGGTTAGCTATGAGTCTGTTCCATCTGAATGGCAATGAGTTGGGTTGAAGTTGCCCACAAAGTGATGGTCTCATCACAACTTCATTTTCTTACACTATATCCTTCCTTAAAAAACCCAAAAAAATCCAAACAGATGCATCATCCAGAGCTAGGTGTAACCACATACCTGTCTCTCCCTGTGCTGAAGGTGAGCTTCCAATTTCAGCATCTGTCTTACAAATCTCCCCAGTGTTTTCTTGGAGACACCAGTTTCTTATCTCCACGTCGCTGCTTAGCTCAGACCTCTCAAATTCACTGCAAAGCTTTAATTCACTCTGTTCAGAAGGCCTGGAATAGCCAAAGAGAAACCAAACCCTTATTTTATCATGTATGCACGCTTATTTCTTTTCTGTAAGACTTATAAGATGTGAAAAAATTAATCGGGGTCTTATCTTTTCGTGTCTGACAGGAGGCTATGGTAAGTAAAGGAAGATAATAATGTGAAAATTAAATATCATTGTCTTAAAACTAGAATAGGGTGCTCTGATGGTCAAGTTGACAGAGTGTTGTGCTGCCAACCCAAAGGCAGGGAGTTTGAATCCACCAGCTGCTCTGAGGGAGAAAGATGAACAATCTCTTCTCATGAGATTAACAGCCTCAGAAAATCTGCTGGGAGGTCAGCAATGAGTTGGTTCCAATTCAACAGCAATGAGTTTGAGAACCAGAAGTACTTGAGAATGCATTCAATCTATTTTCTTATTTCACAGTGAGCAGAGGAGACTCTTCAAGGTTCAATGGGTCACTAAAAGCCAAATTATACATGGCAGAGGGCCAGAACCAGAACCTAGGGCTCGAGTTAGTTTCTCTCTTTTTTTTCCCCCAATATAAAATATAAAATTTTATCAATAGACATGTTTGCTCTTTGCAGCCTCGGGGAAGGCATATATTAGTTTAAATACTTCCTCATTCTTTCCTTTAACAGACATTTATGAAGTGACTGAATGTGCAATCTATTGTTAGAAGAGGTGCAGGAACTACAGAGAAAGTAGTTTTCCCCTTAAATACGGAAAGCTGAATAATACTTCTCTCAAGGAGTCCCTAAGTAGTAGTAATAATACTCCTTGAGGCAAAAACTGTAAAAAAATTTCAGAAGGAGGGCAATACCTAAATGCACAGAGAATGCCAAAGGAAAAAAAGAGGTGGCTCTTTCACAGCAATATCAGGTCAGGTTTGCAGGATGGCATAAGGTCAGATACCTGAGATACACCAGATGATGTTGCAATTTTATGGTCAAGGTACCAAGGGTATCAGACATGCAAGGCATATAACGGACAACCCACCACCACCCACTCACTACCAACCATCATGTTCTCCAGACATTCTGATTAGCTAGAAACCACTTTAAAATAATTTCTTACAACCATCATTATTTCTTCAACATGTCAGAAACAGGCTTTTAAAAATATATTGCAACATCTAACTAACCCATTTTATTGTTCTATCTTCCGACATGTGTACATCAGTAAATCATAGTACTATAAAAAATGACTTGACAGTTAATCAAATATTAAAAAAAACACATGTAAAAAAATACAATCGTTTGACTTTTTTTAACTGCCCTTTCAGTTGTCAAATAATTTAGGCCTAAATAAGAAGATTTACTACTACCAGAATTTATTATTAATAATTCTCTATTAATTTATTTTTTTTTATCTTGCTTACTGAATATATGATAAACTGTCAAAAAAACACGTGTCTTTAAAGCTGAGGTGCTTCACAGAGGTGATGACGCTGAGACTTTGTCTCGTAGACTTTGGGCATATTATTAGGTAGGGGGTAGTCACTGGAAAAGGCCATCATGCTTGGAGGAGTGGAGAGGGCAGCAAAATCAAGAAAGACTCTCAGGAAGTTAGGTGGCCCAATACAATGACTGTAACAATGAATGTAAACAGAGCAGAGAATGAGGATGGTGCAGGACTGAGCAGAGCTCAGCTCTGTTGTACATAAGGTTGCTTTAAGCAGAAATGATCCGACAGCATCTAACAACATTATCTTATTTCTTGTGAGCTGGGTATAGAACTGGACTTGAAGAATCTTTGGAGCCACCTAACAGCTCTCAAGAAAATTCTAGTAACCAAGTGGCAAGAAGTTGTGCTGCCAACTCAAAAGCAGATGGTTCAAAGCCACCAATTACTGCATGGGAGAAAGATGGACAATCTCTTCCCACATTATTTACAGACTCTGAAAATCCAATGGAGGGTCGGCTGAGTTGATTCCAACCCACAAGTATGTAACAACTCCCTCTAGGAGATCTCATGTGAGAACAGCTGGAAGTTACTCACTGAGCTGGATCACAGGACCCAGCCTGGAGGCTGCCAATGAGGGGTCGCAGGGCACATGCCGCACCTAGCTCATCTGTGCTTCGGAGGCAAGTGAACCTGGCCAGCTCACCTGGCTAGAGTTCCCTCCCAACCATATGCAAAACTGCAGCCAGGTGGAACCCTTTCTCCATCTAAGTATCAAACCTTGGGGGAGAAATTCAACAGAAACACACTTAAGTAACTACCTGAGCTGGTGAAACTCCCAAACACTAAGGCTCAAAAGCAGAAAAAAGCTAGAGTGGTGAGCACAGAGAGGTTATTAAGAAGAATTAGGCCTTAAGGGGAGCTCTGGTGGCCTAGTGGTAAGGAGCTGCAACTACAATCCCAGAGGTGCACGGTTCAAATCCACCAGATGCTCTGCTGGGGAAGGAGGGACAATCTCCTCCTGTACCAGTCAGATCTGATTTGATGGTACACTCACACAAAAATAATAAAATAAAAACATTTAAAAAAAAGAATTAGGCCTTAATGTCCAAGGGTAGGGTTTCTATGACTCACTGCAAGGCACCTCTTGTGGAGGCCAGCAGGCTGGAAATGGACCCGCTCAGGGAGGAAGAAAGGGGGTACATCTCTGCTGAAGCCTTCTGTACCCGTTTACTGGGGGTAGGGGTGGGTGTTAAAATTATAATACAAGAAATTAAAACTCAGAGATGATTCTAATTAGAAGCCATGTGCTGAGGCTGCTTTGTCAGAAAAACTCCCAAGGGAGAAAGGTGCCTAAAATTTCACTTAGAGGGACTCTTCTCTAACTCCTGTCACCTTTAATTTACAGAGAAGAAAATGGAAGTTCAGAAAGATTACGTATCCAGAAGAAAGAGGTTTCTGAAGGAGAATATCAACCATGTGGGTTCCCGTGCAGGCTCTGCCTTTCACAGGCTCTGTCTGAAGATGATTGCTTACCATCTGGGAGGCTCAGATTGTGCACCCCTAAGAACCGACCTTCCGTGAGACCAAACTGGGGCTTACATGAAGAGTAAGTACTGTAATTCCTTACTACTCCTGCAGACTGCCCAGTGGCTAAGTGGTGAAGCTGGAAAGAGGGTGCCTGTCTGTACCCTGCACTTTTCTATAGTACCTACTCACATGGCCATAAAAATAAGGCATGCATATTTGCAGAAAATGAAATAAGGCAGAATGAATGGTTTAGCACAGAGGGATGGCTTACATACTTTTCTTCCTAAGGCCCTCTACAGCTTTTAACATTATATAAATCAGAAAAATTCTCCATGCTCACGTATTTAAACAAAATAAAACCATAACAAGAAAAAGATGTTCATTTTAAGAATGCTCTATCAACTTGAAATACAAACATCTACACTTTCTTACTGTTCTGCATACAAAAAGTAAGATTACAAGAGCTAATTGCAAAGCTGCAAAGTAAAAAAAAAAATAGATGGAAATTTTAAAGGGACGATAAATATAATACACACCTTGAAGCCTGAGTAGCACCCCTTTTCTTGTTTTTTCTACACGTACGATTTTTATTCCAATTTAAATTTTGTAAATTTCCTTCCTTTTTCTCCTGCAGCTTCTTCTTCCTATAAGGATCTTCTTGCTGAGGAGGAAGAAAAAGAAAACTTTCAGTGTTTAAGTTGCTCACATAAAAAACTCGCTCTGGCTTTTTGTTTGTCTGTTTTAAAATTTTGAAGACCAGCTCCATCTAAAAATCAGAATTTTCCAGCCCTGGTGAAAACTGAGACGCTCTCTTTTCAATCTCTGGTTTGTTTTCATTTCCCTCCCTTTCTATACCTCCTCCTTCAAGCTGTGCAAAAAAAAGAGAAGAAAAAAATGTGCCTATAAAATTCCTAGGGGTCTGAAAAAGGAAAACATCTGCTAGCAATTTACGGTCAACTCACTGTTAACTTCAGCAGCAATAACTCCTCTAACCTTCATCTGTAAATTTGGTCTGAGTAACTAACACGAAACCTATAGTAGAAAAATCAGGGCAAACTCCACTCAAGAGTAAGTGATACATTCACATTTTTGGTTTTGGCTGATCTTGAAAAGAGAAAAATCGTCATAAAATGCTTTAAACTAGTTTAAATAAATTTAAATAAAACAAGCATCTGCTTGATTTTTAAGAAAATAGGGTTATGAAAAGTCTCACTCCACATTTACTAGATATATTTTATATGTATGTAAACTGTATGTATATATATTATTACATACATGCATATAAAAATTGTATCTATACTTTGGAGGGATTTTCCCCCTGGTTTTAAATACTAGCCATGCCTATTATTAGGTGGTGGCCATGAACTTTCAGAAGAAAAACACGTCTATTTGGAGGAAATGCAACCAGTGTGTTCATTACAGGTAAGGATGGTGAAACTTCATCTCGCTATGAAGAGAGGTCAGTTCTTGGAAAAAGATACCATGCTGGAAAAGGCGGAGGGTCAGAGAAAGAGAAGACCCTCAACAAGACGGACTGACACAGTGCCTATAAAAACAGGCTTATGTCATGAGACGTTTATCAAAGATTATGAGGATGGCACAGGAAGAGTGAGAAGTTCAGAGATATTGTTCATAATGTCACTGAGTCATCGTCGACTCAATGGCACCTAACAACAACAAAGAGATTAACATTCACAGGCTGAACAGAATCATCATTAACTTCAGCTGCAATAAACCTCCCATATTCACCTTTATTTGTTAACTTGGCTTGTACAATTCACACAAAATACTACTGGAGAAAATTTTAAAAACAGCTCATTGTTAAGAAACACCAAGTTAGTTTACAATGACAAAAAACATGGTGATAGATACTCGCGATAGCATGTACAACAATGTCACTGAATTATACTAATACAAATGTTGAACTGCCAAATGTAGTGTTATCTAAGTTTTTTAAAATAAAATTTTTATAACAGTTTACTCACAAAATACTGTTTTTCCACACCAGATCTTTCCCATTTCAGATAAAAATGCTCATGTCTTCAAGGTCTTTTAATAACTTGTTTTTCCTCTTTCTCTTACCACCAACCACAACCAAACTCTCCGCCATTAAGCAATTTCTGGCCCCTATCCACCCTACAGTAGGACAGGATGGAATTGCCACACTGAGTTTCCAAGGCCTGCTTGGACCCACGCTCCTACCCAGACACAAGCTCCTGCCCAGAAGCATGAGACCACGCATGGAGACCACCCGGCCACGTAGATATCACCTCACCACCCCTGTACCAAGAGCGCTAATATCACAGGGAAGTGGAAAGGGAATGGGGACAGAGATGGTGGGAGGCCTGAGCCATCAAATCAGAGTTGGTTGGGGGGCAGAGAGTGGGAGATGTGGGAGGGGCAAAGAAAGGGACTTGAGCTGGATGTTGCAGGGCAGGATGAGGGTGGAAAAACAACACATGTGCCAAAGAGGTGGGCCCCGGGGACCAACATCTGATCTGGTACCTGGATACTCTCATCAGTTATTCCAGGTAAAATGTTTGTCTGCCACATACTGCTCTAAATCTGAGCACCCAAATTAAAACAGAGCAGGGTGGAGGATTGGCCATCCAGTTTAGAAATAGCAGGCCTTCAGGGGATTGTATTAAAAAAAAAATAGCAGGCCTTCAAAAACCCTATGTACAACAGAGCACACTTAGATTAGACTAGCAGATATGGCACTAGAGCCTTTGTACTGGGAATCTCAAAGGAGGAGGAACAGTTGCAAATAGACCCTAGTGACTGGAACAAGGAATGTGAGAAGTATGAATGGAGGAGAATTTGAGATTGCTAAGGAAGAAACAGAATGCATAAATTTTGACATACTAAGCATTGGTGAAATGGAATGGATTGGCATGGGACATTTTCAATCGGACAATCATATGATCAACTATGCTGGAAAGGAAAAGGTAAGAAAAAAAACGGAGTCACATTCATAGTTAAAAAGACCATTTCTAGATCCATTATCAGCTACAATGTTATGAGTGACAGGATAATTATCTTTACATATATAAGGAAGACCTGTTAATACCACTATTATTCAAATTTATGTACCAACAACCAGAGCCAAAGAAGAGGAAACAGATGATTTTTACCAACTGGTACAATCATAATCAATTGAATATGCAACCAAGATACATTAGTAATAATGGGTGACTAGAATACAAAAGTTGGGAACATTATACCCAATGTCAGATGGATCTTAGGTGAAATTAGAGGATATCAGAGAAATGTCTGTGTTTCATTCCCTATGCAAAGGCATTTGACTGTGTGGATCACAGCAAACTGTGGCTAAGTCTGAGAAGAATGGGAATCCCAAAATACTTGATTGTGCTTATGCAAAACCTGTACTTGGACCAGAAGGCAGTCATCAGAACAGAGTAAGAAAAACATTACATGGTTCAAATATCAGGAAAGGTATAAGCCAGGGATGCATTCTATTTCCATACTTTTCCAATCTATATGCAGATCATCCAGGAGGCAGGGCTCTATAAGGAGGAATGTGGCTTCAGCTCTGGAGGAAGAATCATCAACAACTAGTGTTATGCAGATGATACAACCTTCCTTGCTGAAACTAAGGAGAACCTGAGGCATCTGCCAAGGACTGCAGCCTTCAATATGGATTGAAGCTCTACATCAAGAAAACAAAACTACTCACCACTGGGCCAATTGGCAGCATCATAAAAGACAGAGAAGAGACTGAGACTGTTAACAGCTAGTTTGCTTGGCTCCACAATCAACATTCTTGGTACCAGCAGCCAGGAAATCAAAAGAAGAATCACACTGGGGAAAAATCTCCTGTCAGGTACTGCTCTAGAGTACTGAAGATTAATGATGTCAGCGCACTTCATCCATGCCATGGTCTTTGCAATTACTTGTTATGTATAGAAAACTGCACAATGACTAAGGATGATAGAAGAATCAACGCCTTTGAGTTGTGGTGCTGAAGAAGAGCACGGAATAGACCTTGGGCTGCTAAGGGAACAAACAAATCCGTCCTGGAGAGGGTGCAACCAGGCTGCTCCTGGGAGGCTAGGATTTTGAAGCTCTGTCTCACATCCTTAGGGCACATGGACAGCAGGGACTAGTCCTTGGAGAAGGACATCATGCTTGGAAGGGTGTGTCGGAATTAGTGAGACTGGATCAGGACAGGGCAGGCTTCAGAGGTGCTGTATATACAGTCAAAGGTGACTTGATTACACATAACAACAACATACAATGGACTAAGAGATCCCCCCCAATCTTTATAGTACTTAATTTTTTTTTCCTAACAAGTGGGTCTTAACTCTTCTGAAAATATTTGACATGATGTGTTAAATACAGAAAGTCCTGTAGAAGTGGACTTCATGTTGCTTATGTTTGATGCTAAACACACATACTAAATAAACATTTAAAGGCATGATTTGATGTTAATGATTAGGTAAGCACTTTATTTAATGATGTAGTTTGCCTTTGCATATTTCTAATTCAACAATTAGGGGAAAACATTGTCCATCCTCTCTCTCAAAGACCAAGAAAGGCCTCAACACAGCAAGATTTGTACCTTTCTACAAGAGCAGAGTCGTACATAAAGAAGGACCAGTCTCTGTCTAAAGCCTGAGAAGGAATGAGTTGGCCCGTAGTCATTCCGACACTGCTTTTATCAGATCAGTCTAGTTAGAACTGTCATCCTGTGCAAGTTAAGAGGGCAAGTACTCAGGAGTTCTGGGTGATGGGGTTTGATGGTTCGAGGTGTGAGTAGACTGACCAAAAAAGTTCACAAGCAACTACAACAAGAGACAGAAAGAGGTAGGGCCAAAAAAGCACAAAGAAGATGTAATGAGTAATGAAAAACAATGCTATTTTGCTTTGGGGCCAGCTTTAGAGGAGCAAAATCTAAAGTCATAGGAGGTAAAGAGGTATTAGGCAAGATGCTTCTCCTTCACAGTACAGCTGGGAATGGAGGGAGGACAGGACAAACGCGAGGAACAAGCTGTCTCTCTGTTTTCCTGGTGCAGAGGGTCTCGGCAGGATTAACTAGGAAATGGAAAGCAAATGACTGACCACTCTAAGGGAGACTGTGAACAGTCACAATTAAGATTATAAGAGACTCTGAGGCTGAAATCTTCAGTGGAGTCACTTCCAACTCCTGGACACCTGTTGTAGGTCACAGGGTTTCCACAGGCTGACTTTTCCTAAATAAAATTCTGATAATCATATCTGGCAGACAAAGAGTTAATACCTACACAAATAGTGTTCGTATAGAAAATAAGAAAAATAACACTCAACAAAAATTCAGCAACTGACCTAAAATATGTATTCGCTAAAGAACACAGAAGATGCCAAAGAACATTAAGACTTCATACAAAATATTTAATAAAACTAATTTTTAAAAGGCAAATTACAAACCAGCCTGTACCTCAACATCCACTCTGATTTACAAAAGCACAACTTTATTTATACACACATTTGTCTCCAAACACCAGGAAACAGGGGAAGGTGTAGTGCTGTTTGACAGGGTCTGGCTCAGAGCACTGGGCTTTGACTTCTTAATCTATGAAAATTTTCTAAGTGGTAGGATTTCTATTGGATGGGCTTTGATTTTTTTGGTGTGTATTTTGGAAATGGGAACAAAAAATGAAA